GGTGCAATTTCATATCCAGGTACGCTTCCTCCTCCCATCCTTCTCTCTTATCCCTACTAAGATTGACCTTCAGCACGAAGATCTCGTCTTCCCTCCTGATTCCTTCAGATCCCTAAAGGGTACAGACAACAAACAGAACAAACTGCAGATGAATATAGCGAGCCTCACGCCTAGTGCTTACAACTGCTTTCAAACCCCCCTGGTTCACTGACGCTAGTTTGGGCGTCTAGCGATTATGGAGCGTTCCCATCACCAGTTGTATATTGTCGTTACTCAGACAAATTTAAACTCTTGCCCACCGATTAGCGATAGACTAGGAGTGACGGGGGTGTTGAGTTCTCGTGCGAGCTTCGCCGCTGTGTCACTCGGTGGGGCACTAAGTACAGAGGTTTTTTTAAGCAGAGATGTGTGCTTAACCACTTTCGTTCAGTCAAAAGACTCAGTCCTTGTGACCCCCTTTTACAGTCCATGCGACACTTCATAGACCACCAACACCTGTCAGGGTTGTTTTTCGAAACTTTGCCCTGGTGGAGTTTGCAAAACTCTCATGCACCACAGTTTTTGTCAGCAAGTTGGACAGCCTCGCTCAATCCATCCTGGGCACAAAGACCTCGAGAGTAAGTACTCAGATTATAGACCTTTTGTTTGGGCGCACGGGGCAGCACCGGAGGCGAACTCTCACCTGCATACCATTGTAGCACCCCTCGCTGAATTAATTAGGACTAAAACAAAGCCCCCTCAGTGTGCTCTGGAAGGAGAGGAGCGTTTTCTTATTATCTGAGACTTTGTTAACCCTCAAACACAGCTTTGAGCAGCTTTTCACCAAATTATGACTTTGAGTGTTAATCACAACAATCTCGGCCCGAGCATAGTGCAAAGACAAATGCTTTAGACGAGTCCCTTCTAGGTACAATATTAAAGCACAAACAATTTTGTCACTCCGCAACGTGACACGGGTCATATCACGAGGCCCATCTGCAATAACAGGACGTGGTGCAGAGGGTAACGTCTAATCTCCATCCATCAGGAACTTGGCCAACAGATAAACGACTTCTCTCTGAATGCGCTGCTTCTTGCCCATCAGGTAGCACATCAGAGTTGCAAATTCTAGCTAAACTTTTCTCGAGTGTAGTTAGCTCTAGTGGAGAAACAAGTAGGAAATGAAGATTACATGTGAAAATGACAAGACTTGAGCTTAACAGCACAAGGAGAAGTGTGAGGAGGGAGGTGGAGAAGGGAAAGAGAGGAGGAGAGAGGGAGGGGAAGAGGAAGAAGGAGAAGAAGAGGGAGGAGAAGAGGAAGCAGAAGAGGGGGAAGAAGAAGAAGAAGAGGAAGAGAAAGGGAGAAAGAAGAAGACGAAGAAGAAGNAAAAAAAAAAAAAAAAAAAAAAAAAAAAAAAAAAAAAAAAAAAAAAAAAGAAGGAAAAAAAGAAGAAGAAGAAGACGAAGAAGCAGAAGTAGAGGGGAAGGAGAAGGGGAGGAGGGGTATCTCTTCACTCACCCCCCCCTGGATGTCTTGTTCTCAACGAAGCTCCTTCCACCTTGGCTATGGCTTCCTCCTCCCTCAAGCCTTTCCTTCCTCCTCCTCTCTCCTCCTCCAAGTTGCTATGGCTCCTACCACTAAGACTAGGGAGTCCTCCCTTCTAGGAGGGTTAATGAGACTCCTCTCAGCCTTTCCTTCCTCTCCACTAGCCTGGGAGCTATGGCGGATTACCCTCTCCACTACCACTAGCTTGTAGAGCCTCCTCCTACTAGCTCACAGTCACCTCCAAGCTTCCGGACAGGCAGGGGTTCCCCTCACTACTCTCCAATTACCTCTAGAGTTCTCACGGGCTCATTTGGGCAGCATGGGCACTCCTCATGCAAGTATGAGTGTGGCGGACTGAATCCCCAACTTATATAGGCTGGGAGCAGCAGTCCGGCCAACCGTTGGGCCCTCCCAAGTGCCCCAAGGTGAACCGAGGTACCCCCAAGGCCAATTTTCACCTCTAGGCCTCTCCGGGGGCACCTAGACCTCTTTTTGGCCAGGTACATGCAGTCCGAGTGGTTCGTACCAACTTGGATTGCCTCTTGGCCTACTCCGGCCTCTTTTCCACCTCCCAAATGTTGCACCCTTGGGTCCGGATGCCAAAGGGGCAATTTTACTTTAAGGAAGGAAAAAGGCCTAGTGGGCCTTTTTCTCGATTTTTATCAGTCTTCGGCCTACCTTGGGTAGGCCGGACCATTTTTCTAAGTGGCGGCACCTTTTCAGCCTTGGATCTGGCTGAGATCCAAGGCCAGCGATAATCCGTGCCACCCCCTAGTAGCCCTTGCTTCAATTTTGAGCCCCTAAGTTCAATTCTTTAATTTTTGGTGCATCTGGCTCTCTTTTTGGGCCAAATGCACTGTTTCGTCTTTTTCTTCTTTTTATTTCTTTTTCTTTTCAGGCTGCCACTTCATTCCGGATCTAGCCATTTTGGGCTGGCCCACAAAAAACGGTTGTTTCCTCTCAACCATGAGATCTGACCTCAGATCCATGGCTAGAAAGAAAACCGGATTTTTCCCCTTTGCATTTTTCTTTTATTTTTGCCTCTTTAATTCAGATTTTGGTGAGATATAATATGGCCCCAAGTGCCATATCTCATCAATCCGGCCTGCACTCCTTGAATCTAGGAGGAGTGAGGTCATCATTGGGACCTGGGAGTCCCTACTGCTGCCATCCCAATGCGCCGACACACTCCCCTCCACCCAATTCTCCTATTTTTCCTCATTTTTTCTCATTTTTCTCTTCTTTTTTCTTTCTTTTTCTTTTATTTTTGTTGTGACATGTGTCAATTTGCTAGGCACTCTCTTTCTAGGCCTTAGGGCCTTGATTGTGGCCAGGTTCATGGCCGGCTGTTGGCCGTTACACCCCGGCCTACCAAGTTGTCATGCCCATGCCCCTAGGGGGTTAATTTCACTCCCGTTAGCCTCCATTTTGAGCCCCTTTGGCTCCGATTTTTCTTGGCTGGCCTGTTTTCTTGCTTGAAGCCTCTTGGGTTCTTGTTTTCTCATGCCTAGCTAGTCCAAAATACCCCGGACTGCTGGGCAACCCTCCCCTTATTATTTTTTTATTCACCCGTTTGGGCCCCACTAATGTTGGCACACGTGATGCTAATATTTTCCACCATCGAGATCCTTGATCTCGACGGCGCCGTTTATTTCTCATGGCCACTCCTCACCTTAGCTAGTGGTCTCCCCCTCAGGACATCCCATGTCCCCGCCGCTTCCCATACTAGTCCCATTTTACCGCTCCGCCGGCGATGCCGTCGACAAGGCCCATTTTCCGACAATTTTTGTTTGGCCCCCTTTGGCCCCCGACGTCATCCCGGTTGACGTCCAATTTTTATTTGGGACTTCCCATGTCCCCGACAGTCCTATTTTTTTTTTTTTTTCATGTGCCCCTTGTGCCGTCAATGTTTTCCCGGCCACGGGCCCCCCCCCGTATTGTCGCCGTCTTACCGTCATACTCCCCTAGTGCCGAGGCGCCATTTTTTTGTGTTTTTCGGGTGTGCCGCGGCCCATTTGCCCTTGGCTCGGGCATCCTAGTGCAGTCCGCAATTTCTCGGACTGCATTCACACCAATCTTGCTAGCCCCACAGCCCCACAGCATGTCCCAAGCCCAAGGAAAATAAGTCGTCAATTTTCCTAAGGCATTCGGGCTCATTTTTGACTCTCGGAGCCCCAAAATCTTGAGTTTGCCCCTCCTTATGCAGTCCGTTGTAACTCGGATTGCAGTAGGGGCTGTTTTCATTGTCCTAGTGCCCCCTCAACTAGCCCCCTACCAAAAGAAAATCAGGCGGCTACTTCCCAAGTGCATCTGGCCTCAATTTTGGCTCCCAGAGCAATTAGAACTTGATTTTGGCCTCCCCCATGTAATCCGTTATTTTTCGGTTGCATGGGGCCTTGTTTTCTTTTAATTTTCTCAGTATAAATCAAAGAAAAACATGGTCCTTAGTAACCGCCACATTGCCCAAGTGAATCTGGTCCAAAATCCTTCCCCTAGGTGGCCGTTTTTGTCCGTTAGTGCCCTTTTGACTTTCCTCCTTTTACTTTTATTTTTTTTTTCTTTTTTTTTTCTTCTTCCACCACTTGTGGACAGTTGGGACTTGGCAGTCCTTACTTGCTGCAGTCCCAACTGACGGCCAACTCGCTCATCCTTTCTCACCTCCTTTTTCTTTTTCTTTTCTTTTTATTTGTGCATGCCAAGTGTCAACTAGCCGTTAAGGCCTTTTTCTCAATTTTCTTTTTTTTTCTTTTTCTTTTTCTCCACTTGTGGACAGTTGGGACTTGGCAGTCCCTACTTGCTGCAGTCCCAACTGACGGCCAACTCACTCATCCTCTCGCACCTCCTATTTTCTTTTTCTTTTTCTTTTTCTTTTTCTTTTTCTTTTCCTTTTTCTTTTTCTTTTTCTTTTTCCTTTTGCATGCCAAGTGTCCACTAGCCGTTAAGGCCCTTCCTACACTCAAGGGCCAGTCCGTTATTTTTCGGACTGCAGTTGTGGCCCTTTCATGCCCTTGGGAGCCACCGTTAGCCCTCCTCTCTCCCAAATGGTAGGCCCCCTTGCACCGATTTTTTTCTGAGGGCCTGTTTTTCTCATGTTGACTCCGTTTTGCCCCATTTTCTTGGGGGAGGGCAATCTGAGATTTTTCGGATTGCTCCCATGCCTCCCATTACCTGTTCTTTTACTTTTTATTTTTCTTTTCGCCTTCCCACTTGCTCCCACTAGTGCTTGCACTAGTGGTGCTAATAAATTTGGCCGCTAAGATCTCTGATCTTGACGGCGCAACTTGTTTTTATTTTTTTTTTACACCACACACCTTGCCGCAATTTTCCCTTGGGACGCCACAGGTCCCCGCCACTTGCCCCGCACTAGTCCCCGACACTAGTCCCCGACACTAGTCCCCGACACTAGTCCCCGACACTTGTCCCGTGCTAGTACCGTACTCATTATTTTTTTGCTTAGCCCCTCATGGTTCCCGACACCGGTCCCATTGGTGCCATGTAGCCCTCGGCACTTACCCCATTGATGCCGCACCTTTGTTCGTCCCCCACGTGATCCCCGACACTTTGTCCCACCGGCACCACATCTTCTTTTAGTCTCACGAGGTCCCCGACACTTTGTCCCGCTGGCACCACATCTTCTTTTGGTTTCACGTGGTCCCCGACACTTTGTCCCGTTGACACCACATCTTCTTTTGGTCTCACGTGGTCCCCGACACTTTGTCCCGCCGGTACCACATCTTCTTTTGGTCTCGCATGGTCATTGACACTTTGTCCCGCCGGTACCGCTTCTTCTTTTGGTCTCACGTGGTCCCCGACACTTTGTCCCGCCGGTACCACATCTTCTTTCGATCTTACGCGGTCCCCGACACTTTGTCCCGCCGGTACCGCTTCTTCTTTTGGTCTCACGTGGTCCCCGACACTTTATCCCACCGGTACCACATCTTCTTTCGGTCTTACGCGGTCCCCGACACTTTTTCCCGCCGGTACCACATCGTCTTTTGGTCTCGTGTGGTCCCCGGCACTTTGTCCTGCCGGTACCGCTTCTTCTTTGCTTGTGGCCCTCTTGGCCCTCTTGCCGCTACTTCCTAGTGGCCCACCTAGCCCGGCAACGTTTCCCTTGTGCCGGCGCCTTACGTCCTATTCCTCCCTTGCACCTGCACAACCTACATCATTGCTTTTTCCGGAGGTCCTTCTCCATTTCGGGGAAAGGGTCGTCTTCGCTATTTTCTTGCGGCCCTTTGCGTTCCTTGTTTAGTCAATTCTTTCTTAGCCCAAGGGTCTCTGCGACTTTGGGCAGCCTCTAGCTCCCTAGTGCCTGTGCTTACGCCTTCGATTCTTCCAACATCCTTGCCTCCGGTTTTCTCTACCGTGCACAAATTGGTCATATACAGTCTCTCGAGTGACGGGAAGTCATTCGGGACTCACCAGTCACGACATATTCCCCCCACTCATTCGCGATGTCCTCATCGCGCACCAGTCCATAGTCAGTGGAGGTTTTGGAGTGATAGACAGACAGAGAAGGGGGGTGGGGTGAGATGGGTAGTTAGCTTGCAAGGGTTTTTTTTGTCCTTTCCCCATTCTTTTCTCGGGGTTTTCCTTTAGCTTTCCGCCCCTTGAGGCGGAGGAGGATATGGGGGGTCATAGGTTCTTCTTCGGGCTTCTCTTTTCTCCCTACAGCTTAGACCAGGTTGCTCATTTCCATCATAGCTCTGCCTCTTTATCGAGACACGAACTTCCTCTTCAGTCAACTTTGTATACCCAGCAGGGTAACCCATAATTCTTTCGACTTCAGTAACACGAAGCAGACGAGGCTCTCCTCGCTTCATGCACTTAATTGATGGCATGCTGACTTTTATTCCCAGGACGAGAATTTGTTGCCATACACAATTGGTTTTCTCATTATATGCCTTGGCATTGTTGATAACAAATTGTAGGTAAGTTTTCGGATGTGGCTCAATGTCAGGCATTTGCTCCGGACAGGGGATGTTCGTCCAGTACAACCGCCGCCTTTGCTTGCGGTGATACCCACTTCGAATCGATGAACACAGGCACAACTCCCCCTAAGTGCTTCATAATCTCAAATCTATCTTCCCATTTCATTGAGAAAATATTATCGAGCAAAAACTATTTTGGCTCCGTCTTATTCATCAAGATAATCTACTTTTCGGCCCGTGCAATCCGTGTTTCCCTTTGATCCTTCCCCGAAGCTAAGACTTTGCCAAATCCACATACATTTCTCCCGAGTCATTTGACCCGGCCTTTCTCAGGTTCTGCCAATTCCGCATGCATATCATCCTTGTCCTTTCTTGTTCCTTGCTTATTTCTATTTTTTCATGCACGCTGCCCAACTCATTCCTTGTGCTTCTCCTTTTTCAGACACCTTGTCAGACCTTTTTCTCAGGCTCATGCAACCCAGTTACTCATTCATTTCCCAGCCTGCCAGTCCTTTTCCTTCAAATCCATGCAAAGTCCATCATACGAGTCTTTTCTTTTTCGGACGCCTTGCCCGACCCATTTTCAAGCTCATGCCAAAACAATCGCACAGGGCACCTTGCCAGGCACCTTTTCCCAAGCCCGCGCAAAGCCAGTTACACAATTCTTTTCTATTCTGGGCATTTGCCAGACCCCCTTTTCTCAGGCCTGCGCAAAGCCAATTACACAAGTCTTTTTTGTTCCGGGCCTCTTGCCAGACCCCCTTTTCTCAGGCCTACGCAAAACCAATTACACGATTCTTTTGCATGCGTTTTCGTAGGTAGATGGCACACCTTCCCCCCACTCAAAACGCGATGTCCCCATCGCGCGACTGGTTCTCACTCGGAGGTACGCAGACCTTTGGCCCACCAACCGCAGTCAAGGACACAAACCCGTCCGCTTCACAAAAGGAAGAGTGATCAGTTATCCCCCAGTGAACGACGCCTCATCCTCATACTCGGTCCGACCTTTCTTCTCTCACGTGGCGAGCACCAATGCTGAGGTTCTTCCTCACGTCTGACAGGCAGGTCCAATCCAAGCCTTCCAAGGCCTCGTCTAGCCGTAAAAGCGTTCCTCGCGAATCGTTCCTCCCAAGTGGTAATTTTCTGGATTCCGGCCTCTTCCTTTCAAGAGAGTTGGGGTTCCCAATTAGTTCGCGAGTGCAGTTACGAAGACCTCGCAATTAGTCCCGAAACGGTTGTAATGTTTCGGCAGGGCAGTGTCAATGCCCCGTGGTGGTGGCGGACTCCACCCGGTACCTCGCCAGCCTCTCCCCTTGGACAGTGCCGCCCAACTTAGCACGGGCAGCCGTGGTCCGACCCAAACGGCCATGGCACCCCTCTATGACATGACGTGTGGTTGGAGAATGGCAAAATAGACTAGATGAGAACGGCTCTCTCGCCCATTTGGCACTCTCGCCCTTTGACGTTTAGGCATTCAACAAGAATGGCAAAATAGNAGGCATTCAACAAGAATGGCAAAATAGACTAGATGAGAACGGCTCTCTCGCCCATTTGGCACTCTCGCCCTTTGACGTTTAGGCATTCAACAAGAGTCGCAGTTTGAACTCCCCGACTATAGCTCATTGTCGGGGTCAGTTCCGTACGTCCCGCACCGATCCAAGTGGTAGGTGCCTTAGTCCTTTGACCTTCATCCCCTTGAAGAGGAACAGGTCGCGCTGAGACTTTTTCTCTCAAAGGGATAGAGGTCTTGGGGATCGTGGTGCATGCACCGGTATCCCCCTCTTGCTGAGGCCAAAGACTAGAAGAAAAGAGAAATTCCATTTCAATGCTCTTTCCAAGTCCATTTCAAGTTGCCTAGGGTCCCCTGTTTATGCAGTGCAATTTTCAATACTCATTCCAATTCCAATGCTCAGTATCATTCCCATGCTCAATCTCAGTCCAATGCTTAATGCAATATCTCTTCCAAGGCTGAGTCCAATATCCTTTCCAAGGCTGAGTCCAATATCTTTTCCAAGCTCAGTTTTTCCAATGTCTTTTTCCAAGGCTCAGCTCTCCCAATATCATGCGTCTCAAGCAGCCATGCAAGGGAACCCCAGTGCCAATTCCAAAGAATGACCCTTGTCAGGGGCCATTCCGAACAACCTGGTTAGGGTCGTTCTTTCCAATTCCAAGTCGAACAGCCTGGTTAGGGTCATTCTTATCCATTTCAATCGGACAGCCTGGTTAGGACCATCCTTATCCATTCCAATTGGAAAGCCAGGTTAGGGTCATCCTTGTCCATTGCAGTGTTAGCGCCCGAGGGGGTGGGCCTCGAGGACACGGATTCTATCTCGTATCGGGGGCTAGCAGGCGGCCATCTTCTTTGGTTTTTACGCATGCTTCTTCCTCTTCCTCATACCATTTGTCATCCTTATGTCCATTCATACATCCAACTTAGCGTCCAGTACTCGAGATGAGGGTCGCAACCTCAAGCAGCACTAGCCCACCCGGCCGTTCAACCATTGCAAAGGGTGTGTGTCCTCACTATTTTCTCTCTCTCTCTGGTTCTCATGTGTCTTGCTGTTCTGGACTGATGTGGGACTTGTTGGATTAGGCTCCTAGGTAAGAGTGTTCTTCACGCCTCTTTACCCATAGGTCCCCTAACCTCTCACAAGGACTCATGCGATGACTCATTCAACCAATGATATACACTTTTCAAAAAAAAAACTTTCTGCCATCGACTTTTCTTCCGATCTTCAACAGTTCACCCACCCTTGTCTGTCTCTTAAGGTAGAGCCAATGGCCCCAGTCCCTTTCTTATTGCCAAAAAAACTCAGATTTCCCAAAAGGAGCGAGTACTTGTACAAAGTAGCACTGGTCACCCAACCCCTAGTAGTATCCCCAATCCAGGAAGGCGTTACGTCGCAGTCCTTCCAAAAAACGAGGAGACAAAGTTCGAATGCAAAGGCAACATTACAGACTCGCCTCATCTAGATCTCTCTATTTTCCCTTTTGACAACCCCAGCCATTCACAGACCCATTCTCTAAATGCAAAGACCCTCGTGCCCCTTTCCTGAAGAAGCAACTACTTGTGCAAAGCAGTACTCATTACCCAGTCCTTCGCCATTTCAAGTCTAGAAAGTTGTCCCGTCGCAGTCCATTCAGAAAAAAAAATAAAAAAAATTCAAATGCAAAATTCAAAATGACAGTTTTTCCTGCCCAGGTACCAACCCTCTCCCAATTTCTAGCTAACCCCTGATTATACCTACTACCCTCTTACTGTCCAGCCGCACTACGTCGAGCCTCCCTTGCACGATCCTCAATCTCTTGCTGCATTTGTCTTTTTATTCTCTGCAATTGAAGGAGCGTCCCTTCTCAGAAGAAGGTTATCGGGGATATGTCCCCTCCCCTGCTCAGCTTTTCTTTCCCTTTCATTGCCCATTGATATCGCAAGATACTGGCCCATTCATCGAACCAGTCGCTGAAGGTCGGCCCGAACTCTGTTACCCATTTGTCCTTATCTTCCCCCGGGTCCTGCTCTCTTCCCCGTACTTCCCTTGTGGGCGTGGTCACTTCATCTTCGTCCTCCTCGCTGCTGAGGTCTATGACCTCAATGGGCTCCTCCTCTCCCAACCTCTGTCTTTTCCCCGGGTTCCCCCCTTCCTCACTACTAGTATCACTGCCAGATGGCAGGACTTTTGGCTCCCCCTCTCTGGGAGGTGACGGTCCCCGGGTCCCTTGCTTTCTCCCACCTCTCTTTATGACCAGATTGTGATCAAACCCCACATACAGCTTCCTCTTCCTGGAATTGATTCTCCGGCCTGTCTTGTTGGCTGCTGCTCATTGGGCCGGTTGATAGCGTTGCTGCCGTTCTCATTTCCAAACTCCATTTTGTCTTTTCTTGCTTTTCTTCTTTTTTCCTAGTCCTGTCCATACATAACAGTCACCGCATCCCCTCATACGCACACATTCCCTCCCACTCCCATTTGCAGCTTTGGAGGCTTCCCTAGAACTCTTGCTTGCCCCCATATAGTTGGTAGTCCCATTATCCCTTAGAACCCTTGACACATTGTCCCAGCACATAGGTGCCCCATGTAGGCAGTCCACAACATCACCCCACAAAAACTATGGTACACTGTCCCGTGCTCCCAAGCCCAGTCACAGTCAGCCCAGGCAGTCTCCCCACGTTTCACAAAGATTAAGACACACAAGCGAACAATCCCTGTGGTCATGATCACTTCCACAGGGAGGCGGTCCAGAACTATAGCAGTTGCCAGCCTTTCAAGCTGTCAATTCTCATGTTTCCCTGTCCTGGGCTTCTTGTAACCATTGTTCCACAGGATCCCTGCTCAAAAACCTGACCAGCCTCTGTCCCGGAAATGACCCTCTTATATTAGTACCATCAAGGTCCTCAAATTCGAACGTGTTCAATCCCTACCGCTTAGCGATCCTGTAGGGCCCTTTGAACCTCTTCCCCAGCTGCCCAGACCACGTGCTCTCAAGGGCCGAGTTCCTAACTAGCACCTTTTCCCCTACTTGGAGCGGCTCCTTCCGGATATTCTTCACCTGGTCCCACCTTGCTTTGTCCCTCATCCGACTATCCATCACACGGTTAACCACTTCCTCGAGTGCCTCCTCATTCCTGATGACCTGTTGACAACGTGCGACGATTGACTCTTCCGTGGACAGATGTGGATCATCATCTAGCCTGTTCCAGGTGGGGATTAAGGCTTCCACCGGAAAATCAATCTCCCTCCCATACCAAAGTTCTGCTGGAATGCACCCTGTCGTCCTTTTCGGTGTCATGTTCTCTGAGAAAACTGCCTGCTTAAGGAACCGTGGCCAATTTCCCAAATCATCCACTGCCAGCTTGGCGATTGTGTTCTTCAAAGTCTGATGCCCCCTTTCTACCGGTGCATTTGCCTCAGGGTGATATGGCTCAATGATCTTTATGGGTACGTGCAAGGTCTTAAGCCTGCTCAATACCTCCTGATTGACGAACTCCGTCCCATTATCTGCTATGAACCTGCGCACAAAGGGGTGTCTTAGGTAGAAATCCTCTATCCAATCGGCCACTCCCTTCCCTGTCTTTCTCTTGAGTGCTACAGCCTCTACGTAGCCACTGAGGTTATCCCTTGCATCCATGATGTACCATCCACCCGTAGACACCGGCATGACCGCAAGGTCGAGGTGGACTAAGTGCCCCGGCCCTAGTACCCGGGTAGGTCTAAGGGGCTCGAAGACACGTGCGGAACTCCTTTCCTGGCATATCAGGCATGTCTGGCAGTACGTTGCCACCATACCTGCCATACCTGGCCAGAAGTAGAGTGGTGCGATTTTCGCAAGGGTCCCTTTGGATGACCTATGACCTCCAGCTAGTCCATCGTGCATTGCCTGGATTATGTCTAACTGCCTAGACCTTCCGCACACGACTCGTCTAGGCATCATCCCCTCTTCCTTCTTGAACAGGTGGTCGTTCCTTAAAACATACTTTTCGGCTTTCTCCCTTGCCTTGGGGCTGACTTCCGTGGGCTGCTTGTTTCCTATAAGCACTAGGCCGATTTCCCTGAAGACGCCCTCATACATCTAAATGAGAAAGAATTCTCGTTCCTTTTGGTCGGTATCCTACTCCTCCCGAGCCTGATTCACCAGGTACTGCAGTTCCCTTTGCGTCCAGGATTCTGCTAAGGTCATCACGGCGTCCTGTCCCCCTTCAACGGCCATTGCCATCAGTTCCTCTTTAGGCCCAATCACTGCACCCCACGAATCCCTCTCGTCTTTGCGCCTAAACTTAGTAACCGGTCCTTCCCTGAGTTCCGCAACTACCGCAGGCGCGCCCTTTTCCAAGGTCTGGATCAGCAACTGACCCGTCGTGGCTATGGAGTCTGCCATCTCGTTATCCACAACAAGGGTCCCTCCTTCGTATTCCAAGAAGGCGTCAATCGGCTCTGCGTCCTCTATCCCTTCCGGCGTGATACATACCCTACTCAGCCCATCCGCCCTGTTTCAAAGCCCCGCAATCCGCTCGACCTTGTAGTCGAATTGCCATATGAAGCCTATCCATCTCCCGACGGTTGGGTCTATAGGCTTATAGTTCTTTAGTGCCCCGACGACATTGGTTGGATCGATCCTCAGGATAAACCGCCTCCCAAACAGGTACGCTTGGAAGGTCTTAAGACAATGCAGGATCGCTAAGACCTCTTTCTTGAACTGTGAGTACCGCCGTTCTGCCGAATTCAAGGTTCTACTTTCAAATCTGATTGGCCTTTCCTTGCCTTCCTCGCTTTTCTGTATCAGTACTCCTCCAACTGCTAGCGGTCCCCCATCTGTTTCTAAGATGAAGGGCCGTCCTACCTCGTCGTTGAAACAGGGTGCTGCTAGGGTGACCTGATCGGAAGACAAGATGTCTTTAAGGGTCTGGGTTGCCACTTCTCTATCCTCGGTCCATTCCATAGTGCCACCTTCTCTAATCATCGCGCGGATAGGCTCCGCTATCTTTGCGAATCCTTTGATGAAGATCCTCCAGAACCCGACCACCCCTAGGAAGGCTCGTACTTCCGTCGTGGTGCGCAGGGGCGTCGGCCATTGAGAGATCTTATCAGTTTTTGCCGGGTCAGGCTTCCTTCCATAGGCCCCACATCGAAACCCCAATATGGTCACTTCTGGGACGGCCAGAATACTCTTTGGTCCACTTGCGGTAATATTGTTATAAACCAAGAATCGTTGGAGTAGATCCTTGATATCCTGTAGGTGATCCCAAACGAACTTCCGTACGCCTGACTCGACCTCCGTCTCATCTTTGTCTCGCGCGCCCTTTATGGGATTATCATCTATATATGGCTCGCATTTTTTCGGGAACATGTCCCCTGCTACGGCAAGCATCCTCCTTTGCGCTTCTGCCACTGCGTTCGTGAAACCCATAGGGGTCACTTGCATCTGCAATTGCCCTACCGGTGTATGCATGGCGGTATACGGTCTAAGACTGCTTGGTGATAATGAATGCAAATCAGAATTTCATGGCCATACTTGAAGCTAGTCAATTACATATACCGATTGTGTGTTTGATAGATTCAGATATTCCAAGCAAATTACAACAAAGAATTCATTATCCCATCCCTGTGAATGATGATTCTTTAGAGTTTATATATCTTGTTTGTCATTTAATTACTTAAATAGTCAATTACTCTCGTATCGTATAATGAGGCTTTTCTTCAAATTAGTTTGGAAAGACATTGTACTTAATTTTCATACAGTTGTTACAACATTTTTGTTGTTTTTGTTGTACATCGTAATCACTCCTTTGCTGATAGGCTTTTCTACAAATTTTTACGGTGCGCCGTCTCACAACCAATTTCGATAGGTTTTCAATTCAATCAAAGCCTAGCCAACGTCACTCTCATTGCGCAATGTGGCTTAAAGCATCCAACTCACCCAATTGGGACCAACTCGATGGGGACCGCAGCATGTTGGAAAAGAGCGAAAAAAGGCTCGCGAGCTATTCGGTCTATGGTGAAGTTCATGGATCCCGCCGAAACAAACATAAGGGCAAGTGGTAACCAATCCACTTCTGTCAACGGTAACGAACTCGGACGTAGAGGGTTCGCACAGGAGAAAGCGTACAGACTGTCTGCAGGCAGCAGATCCAAGATGTGGGGACACCTAAGGATCCCAAGTTCGCAATTGGTTGGAATTCGGGATCGCCCGAAAGTGCAAACACTAGGGGCGACGGAGTAAATTGTCTATACCATGCTGTGTTTCCTATATTTGTTTCCAACTCTGCGACGAGCCTCCAGAGGCTCGCTAGAGGCCTTCGTCGGCTCTCGCAATCCCTCGCGTCGGACGACAACTGGTCATATTCTGAGTATAGGTCTATCAGGGAGTAAATACTTCGTCCAGCATGCGATTCGGCCAGCAAGTCCGCCTGTGGGAGCGAGCCCGCTTCCCTAATTGTTACCGCATTGAGCTTCTGCAAGTCCTGGATCCACCTGAGCGTCTTGTTGGGCTTCCGGAAGACGAACCACTTGTTCGCGTAGGGGGATGCGGTGGGTTTAGCCACGAACGAATCTATCTTGGCTCTAAGCAGGTCGGTGACCTCTGCCGCTATCCCAAACTCATAGGCAGACCCTTTATCATTCCAACACTCATGCTCTACCGTGTGGATCCTAACAGGGGGAATTAATTTCGCATCTAACCGACCTTTCTGGTGATCATTGAAGGCAAAGGCTAGATGAAACTTTTGGCACGCCCTCCTTATCAGTTGAGTTTCCTCTGTTGTTAAGAACCCTTCCACCCCTATTTTCATGGCTTCTGCTACTTCATCAGGTATCCGATGCCCTTCCGCTGCTCACCTCTCCCTTATTACCTGCAGGACCTCCTCCTCCTTTTCCAAGGCCTCTTCCTTTGATGTCTCCACTAGGATCGAGACCGACTTAGCCTTCTTTCCTACGGGTTTGTACTTTCGCACACTGCCTTCTGGGAGCGTTCTCCTAAAAAATGAACGGTCGGGATTGGCCTTGCCATCTCCATGATGCGGGGCTGGATGCTAACTATCTTCCCATTCAGGCAATAGCCTTTTCGGACCTCATCCTCGAACTTGGCAAGTGTTACCGGGTCTACCCCTACTTTGTGACATCTAATAGCTTTGATAAGTTGTAGCAAGTCTGGGATTTCAAGGACTACTTCTGACATTTCCTTCTGGTCTTCCTTCGCCTTGGGCAGGCTGGCCCCAAGTTCAACTTCCGACTCTTTTTCTGCGACCATAACCCCTAGGACCTCGTCCTCTTGCCTCCTTTTCTTCAGAGGCAGGCCTATTTTGATCCACTCCTTTTTGTTGAAGGCCTCCTCAATCATGATTTCTACTCTCTCCCTCATACCTTCCATCCGAGCGAATGCCCCCTTCCGCGCACTCTCTTCGAATGTTGGCGACCAGGTTGCCAATTTGCCCTTTGGAGGGTCCCCTCCGGTCCCAAGAAGTCGGAGGAGTTCTCCGCGGCCGGTCACTGGGTCCTCTATGTCTACCATGTATGTGCCGTCATGCAGATTCATTCCTATTATTTCTACATTGGCGCACCACGGTCTCCCGAGGATTATGTCAATGATCCATTTCTTCCATCACGGTCATCCGCTGAAAGGACCAGATGGATTCCCGAATTCCTGCCTTGACCGCACATGTGGTGACATACCCTGTGAAAGAAATTTCGCCACCGGCTCCCCGGATACTCCCTGCTACTTCCTTGTTTACCGTGCACCCCGTGACTGTTGCGAAATCTCGTCGTATGAGGGTGATTTATGCACCGCCGTTCACTAACGCGTCAGTGTGGCGAGTTCCCATTTGGACTTTCAGCTTTCCTACGGGCAATGCATGGAAGCTAAGCTTCGTCCCGGGTGGCGCCCTCATGACTTCGCCCCCTTCTCGGTCCGGTAGGCTTAGGCAGATGTCTGCAAAGGCCTTTTCCAGGTCCTCCAAATCCCCGGGAATTCTTTGGAGGTTGGAGACGCCTTGGGGCGTCTCTGCCCCTTCCGTCTCCTGCTCCTGCGATTCCGCGGTTTCCTCTACCTCTACGCGCTTACGCGTTAGCAACTGCCTGAGTCCTTTAAGCAGTCTTGGGCTGGCTTGCAACATGGTCTGAAAGGACACTGATACCATGGTACCCAGCAACTTGCTCAGGGTGCCATCGATTTCAGGCGAAGTCAGGATTGGAATTTGATACCTGAACTTCTTCTTTGCCGCCGTAACTTTATCTACCAGTTCCTCCTCCCTTGCTTTCCCATAGACCTTCTCTTGTTCCCCGGCTTCGGTCTCTTGCTGGTCTGCGCTAGTCCCTGCGAGTTCTTCCTTTACTGTATCTTGAATAAGCTTCTTTTTTGCGCCGGCCCGTCGAGTGGTGATATTTACCCTATCCTGCCCATTGCCTTCTAGGATAAAATTGGCCTGTGGTCCGCGTCCCCTTGGTTGGTCCCAGACAAATCTCGGCTACCGGCTCTGGTTCTACGACAACTATCTCTAAGTTATTCAGGAGGATGACGGCTCGCCGCATCCCTCCTGGCGAGTTCCAATTTACACGCTCCCCCTGGGGTCCGAGAATCTCGCCTTTGAGGGACCTGTTGCACCTCTGCCGCTCAATATCGTGATTGAGTCTTGGGCAAGCCCTCACGAAATGTCCGATCATTGTGCAGTACTTGCATCGTTCGTTGGATGAATCCCTCCTGCCAAATCCCCGATTAGCTACGGCTGTCGGAACTACGGCCTCTTGGGGCGGGAGGGCGGGTTGGGACACCTGTGCCTGCATTACTAATAGCGCATTTTCCATTTTGTCCATCTTGCTGTCAACCCCGTGCACCCTTTCATGCAGGCTCTCTATTCCCTTATTGACCTTATCCCCCGTCTTCCCGATCAGGTCTATAGCCTCCCCTTCCTTAAGTAGGGCCAGGGTCTCAGTTACCACTGTCTTCTCTGCAAGATCTGTTACCGTACTGAAATCCACATCCCTTGTGTATTCAAACTTACTGGTATGCTGGTAGGCCGACATAATCTTATCCTTGTCGAACTTGGAAACTGTCTAAGGAAGTACTTGCCAATTATACGATCCGTTACCCTGGGGATTCGCACTGCCACTAGAGTGAATGCCCTCAGAAAGTCATTGTAAGTAGTATAGTTTTTCCTTTGGACCGCCGCCAATTCAACCTCTGTCGCCATTTTTTCCGCCTTCAGGTACTTCCTCATCATCTCATTCCGGGTTTCCTTCCAGGACCCACTAGAGGAGACGATAGCCATAATGTCCCTTCCTAAGCTCAACGATACGTGCTGCCCTACGTGGTCCATCTTTTCTTCCTCAGTCCATTTCAGTAAGGCTGCCAGGTTCTCGTAATCTATCACGAATTTCGTGATGTTTGCCCCATCGAAAGTGAGTTTCTTCTTTGCGTCTGCGAGATACCCTTGATTCTTATTCAGAGCCCGTGTGAGGGTGGCTACTATCCTTTTAAGTCCCCCCTCAGAGCTACCCGCCTCACCGACCGCACTTTTCCCCTCTCCTTCCCTGCCTTCCTTGTGCTTTTCCCCGGTTTTCGGTATTCCCTCTGGATCAAACCAGCCTAACACCCTCTCTCTGAGACTCCAGAGTCCATCGCATCCCTTTGTTGCTTTGGGCGTGGTGGGCACACGACTAGCGCCGTTGTCGATAGCCGGCGGGGTCGTGGCTTTTTCTGCCTCTATAGCCGGGGAGTCCCCCTTTTCCTTCCCCTTCTTGCTGGGTGTTCCCTTATGGCTGTTATCTTTTGCTCCGTACCTGGCTTCGCCCTGACTGGTCCTGCGTCCCTCTCGTAACCCTTCCCCCTGGAGATCCTCTTCATTCCCAACCATCATTTGTTCAATAAGTCTCGCCTTGTATTTTGCGGTCCGCCTTTCTATTTCTGCCAATTTGCGGCGTGCATCCAAGACTTTCGTTTTCTTGGGCGTGGTTCCTCCGGAGTTCCGAGGACTCACCCTTTCGTCGTCCCTCCCTTCCCTATTCTCCTGGGGTCCTCTTTTGCTACCCCCAACTTTTCCTGAACTTTCCCCTGTGGAGAGGCCCTTCCCTTCTTCTTTGGTCCCTTCTGGCTTTGCTGATTCCTGATCCGACCCCTCGTTCTGTTCCTCGTCCCTATTCGTACCCTGACTCCCTCTGCTCTGCTGGTTGTCGTCCTGTTCTTGCGACGCCATCTCCTTACCTAGCTTGCACATGGAAATTGTTTTTGCGAAAAATGGCCGGTTGTTCATGGCCTCCTTAGTTCCATCCCTAAAACCTGGTTGTTTCCATGCCCTTTTCCGTCTTTCATAAGTCGGGACGACACTCCTATCTTTTCTTTCACAGGACACCGTTTAGATTTTCCTCTGCCGGGGGACTTGCTGCCGAGGTCTGGCATTTTGTCGTTGCCCTGCCTCGGCTCTCAGGGCGGTGTCTGAGCCCAGTGGCTTTCCCCTTGAGGATAGCCCTTTCGGCTCTCTGACACCCAAATGGCCCGGCATTCCTGGTGCGGGTGGTCTTCCTAGTTCCTTCCTGTCGCATCGTCAGGTACGGCGGAACTCCAACCACTGCCCCCCCTTTTGCTGATGGCTACCTTCTTATCTTAATACCCATCCTTTACTTTTCCCATCTTCCCCTGGCGCCTTTCCTTACGCTAATCCCTCAGGCCTGCCCTGTTCGTCCGGTTCCTCGAACAAGTCAGCCACCCCGGCAAGGTAATTTTCTCCCATCTCTATTTCCCTGATGATTATTGGCTCGTATTCCTCAAACGACAAGCGGCGCAATCCGAATATCAAGATTTTGATGAGTTCAAGCAATTCCCAAGCCTGATTCCCCCAAAACGGCCCATGTTTACCCGACACATCATAGAACATGCCCGTTGTCTGCGGCCGGAAGTGGTGGATCCAGACTAGGGTCGAGTCCACCAGATCCTTTGCCCTTGGGAGACTGCCGAATACCAGGTCTACCATGAAGCGAGGCACTCGGCATCTCAACCCTGTCATAGGGGCCTTAAACTCTCGCCAACCTCCTACCTCCACCCGGGTTCTCAATCCCACGTTCCTTCTTCCCCGCACTTCCTGGCCTACTTGGTTCAATATCCTAGTAGCCCTCTGGAAGATTGGTAACAACCCATGCCCAAGCGCCAACTCCGTTCCTAGCATGTGCCATCCAAGCTCCGGTAGGTATACGGTCCCCGTCACCCTAAGATCTGTGTATAGATCGTCCCCGGGTTCCCTATTAATCCTCATACCATCCCACAACCATTCCACCATCATGAACGCCTGGTCCCTTCCCAAGGTTACGACTCTCCATTCGGTATCGATCCCTCGGACCCTGTAGCTTGCTGGGAGCGATACCTCCCATCCGTCTCCGCTTTCCGTGAGAGGTCGCGGGTGCGTGGGCCGTCGCGACATCCGGGCGCGTCTCATCGCCATTTCAATTTAGCGGTCCCCTGCACAGTTTAAACAACAAGCGAGTTTTGCTTATTTCATTTATTCTTCGGCCCTTACCTGAGCGACTCCCTGGTCCTTAGCTTGACGCTTCCTTTCCTCTTTATTCCCTTCCCCTTCCTTAGCTCCTCTATCGGTCTGTCCCTACCTCCGTCGGCTCATACAATCGATGCAGGTCATCCACGTACGTCATCCCCCGACTTATTTCCCGTCGAACGACGCCCCACAGAACCTCACTGCCTACAACCGGAGCCCTTGGTCTAGTGGTAAACGCGGCGTGTAGGATTCGCAACACCTCATACTTCTGTTCTCCGCTGAACGGCCCCATCTCTAGGAAGGCCCGATAGTATTCTCGGTGTATCATTGTTTCTTCATATGTCAAGCTGGCGAGGTCGGCCACCGCCCGTCTGACAAGTTCCAGGCCGCCTAGCCTTTCCAGCAGAAAAGGCGGCAGCCTCATCCGAATATTTTCACTGGGCAATTCAAAACTTCCGACCATGGCTACCCTAAGGTCTGCCGTTACGTCATCGGCCTCCGGATCTGCGAAGTCAAATCCCGCCTCCCATACTAACTGCCATGCCCCTTCGAACATACTTAATGGATCTTCCCCTGATGCCAACAGGACCCCGAACTCGTGCCACCCATCCTCGGACATATACAATCGCCCGTCGGCACGCACATGGCCCCGCGGGTCTGGGTTCCACTCCCCATGCTCATCAGCACGCCACTCGACCCTCGTTACCAAGTAAACCATATTTCCCACGAGTTCAACACCGACCCAATCCACCACCGGGTGCCAACCCTCGCTCACGGCCAGCAGGCTAACCTCTATCCCGCCCTCTACTTCCCTGGGTGGCTCAATGCCTAGGGGGCGATCTTCAAGAAACGTCCTCCTTCGTGCCATCGCGTGCTCATCCTTGGTCTTCTAGCTCACAATCCGCACCGAACCCTACAAGGCCCAGACATCCCATTCCCTTATCTTAGCAATCTTCCCATACTTGCCTGGCCCTGCCGCTTTTCCCACTCTCAATCGAACCACAGTACCTCAAACAGCTTAAACACATCATCAACATAGCAGGGTGTGGCAACTACCTCGCGGCGGATTATGGCCTCTCTGATTTCCGAGGCCACTTCCATCCGGTCATTCCTTTTGATGTCCAAAATGATGAGGACCTCCCAGGCTCTATCGCCATGGAACGGCCCATATTTCAGAGATGTTTTATAGAACTCTTCCGTTAGCCAAGCGCAATTCACGTGCACCCGCCCCATAGTGTTGGCTACTTCCTCGACATGGTCAAAACCCCCAAACCAATCTGCTACGGACTCGGGTACCCAGGTCTTAATTCATTGGCAGGGGGGCCTAAATTCCTTCCATCCTCCCATCACGACTCTACTACTGACCGCGTCCCATCCTATGTTAGCAAATCTCTCGCCCGCCCGTCGAGCCCTTGCCTCAGCATCCCCTAAAAGCCACATCGGGTTCTGCCCTGCCGCGAGCGTTGTGCAAAACAGGTGCCAACCTTATTCCAACAGAACGACCGTCCCGACCGATTCCACCCTTCCTTCTGCGATCTCCTCCCATCCTCCCTCTTCCCTTAGTGGGTTCCTGACGCGTTCTACCCATAGGTACGATAGGTCGGGCACAATTTCAGACCCTACCCAGTCACACGTGGTTCCTCTCCATTTGTAATCTGCAGGTATACACATTTCTACTCCCCCTCCAACCCGTCTCGGTTCCCATCCCTTGGGCGCACAGTCCCACAGCTCGCGCTCCCGGGCCATCGCTCTCTTCCTGCACATAGTCGACAGCCCATTCCTGGGTAAGTCCCTACCCCCCCGCCTTTTTAGAAGTCCCAGTCCTCTATCTCGTCCCCATCCTCATCATCACTGAAATCTTCCTCCCCGTCCGAGAACAACTCTTTTTGTCCTTCTAAGAAGGTTTCGCCTGCCGCCACATTCCGATAGATTATTCGCCAATGCACCGGGCTAGGAACAAAGACTTCATCCGCGCTGAGGAGGTTTAACACCTCAGCTAACTCCTCTGCCCAGTTCCCCTCAAACAACCCTGCCTCTACTGACAACCTAAGGAAATCCTGCCGAGCACACTGGTACAGCCTCAAGCGTGTCGACCGACATATTTGCTCCAACCTGTCCCTGGTTCCGAAGACTGCGTCCACCAGGAATGGGGGTAGTACACATCTCATTGTCCTAAGGGGCCGTCTCATGTTTCCCCTGTCCCTGAGTTCCACTCGCACCTCTACCTTCTCCATTTTCATTTCCGCCCGCTGACATTCCGCCCATACCACCTCCCGTTCCGCTTGCCTAAACAACTGATCCGGTGACGTGCCTGATACCAATCCTATCACCATTTCATTTTCCATATCCTCGGATAGGTAGACCCACCCCTGGGCGAAATTCTAAGTCCATCAGGCTTGGTGAAAGTCTCGTCAGGCTGACCTTAGTCCAAATCGTCTCTATCCAAAGGAACGTGTCCTTTTCATCCAGCATCACAGTTTCATAGGCTGGCTCTAGATCCGTCCACGTTCCTTCTTCTGGGAGGACGACAGATACCCCTTCCCTTACATCTACGGGCATTTCCGAACCACTAGAGTAGACAGGGGGCGACAACCATCGCGCCATCTCGTTTTTCCCACGCCCATCCTGTTTCCACACGAGAGCACCACACGGCCCCTCATGGTCAGATTGTCTCCCTTCTATATGAGAATCGTTTTCAGACCCCTCACCCGGGTCTCCACGACATTTCCTACCCTTTTCCCAAACGCCGCTGCCCTGTCATACCCTCAATCAATCACCCTTAGCCGGCATTCCTTTCTCTTGTTTCCATTTCCTTCCGACTCCTATCTTGCCTTATCTTCATGTTCTCTCACTCGTGCGGACTTAGACAGGAGGTGGGATTAGACTTAGAGGTTCAGCTCCCATCCCAACATTCATCAGGCAAACTTTACAGGGGGAGGCACAAAAGAAAAAGTCAGGCATAAGTCGCACACAGGTCGGTCATCTCCTCACCGACCTTTCCCCAGAAATGGTCTCTCCACTGTTACTAACGGCAGAGCTTTATCCCATACCTCAAGCACAGCTCAACTGTCGCAAGCGCGGTACCCAGACTCCAGTGGGGGGTCGCCCTCACCTTCTTGCCCAGAATACCCCATCCCGACTTGCCGCCCGTGTACCCACCGTTAATCTTGGGAATCACCCCACACATCTCGGTAGGGCCATTGGAGCCAACCGTCCAGGCATTCACTTCCATCGGTCCGACAAGGAACAGCCTTTGCCAAACCAAACTCCGAGAAGCTACTAATCGTCTTCGAGGCTCCGTCTTTGCTCGCATGCAACGGTACTCCCTCAGCCAGTCCACAGGCTAGGCCCCGCCTAAAGAAACGTTTCACACCCCGCCCGACAGATCAATCGAGCCGAAGCCCGTCACCGCGCGGACGAGGATGCTACTAAGCACCCGACGTGACAAACTCCCGTTAGACAGCTCGATGGCCTGACCCCCGCATACGAACAAACGGCAGCCTGCAAGAAGAGAGCAACGTTTGGCAACCCGCAGTGGCCGATGCAGACCCCTCCTTTCCTTCCGAAAGGCAGGACGCTCAAATCCCCATCATGCAATCACAAGTCCCAAGTGGGACACATATAACACAAGTGCCTTTCCCGTGGTGCACCCAGCGCTTCCTACCCATTGCTCACAAGTTTTCTCTCAGGACAGTGTGTGCCACTCACCCCTAACTTCCATACATAGTGCCTGGTTCCTTTTCGTGAGCATTCTTCAAAGGTGAGCTAGTTTTCTTGGAGTCTAGCAACTCCCTTCATTCCCTTATCTTTGCCTGTGTGTCCGTTCATAGGCCAGAATTGTTCCTTCTCGATTACCTATTTTGTTCATATGAGGTTCCTTCAAGCATTTCAAGTGTAATGCGAGGAGCCCACTAGGCTCCTGAAGAAGGGGAGAAAGCACCCGTGTCGGTCGGATCGCTCCACCGCGGGATTTTCATTGGAACCCGGACTGGCCCGGAATCCCAACCGCCTGCCAGGTAACCGGAGCCCTTCTTTCACACGAAGAGGAAGGGTCGACCTGCGGCTCGCCCAAGGCTCCCCCGGACTGACGAACATCAGCCCGAAGGGAGGAGGACTAGAGTCACTTCCAAAGGAGATGGCTAATCAAGTGCGCAAGCATGCATGGTATACGTCCAGGTCTGGCCTTGCCATGCGCCCAGCCGCCCTCAGATCTGATTCACTCAAAGGAGTAGAGCATACACAAGTCCTCGTCCCTTTTCTTAATGTTATATTCGTCGTCATGCGTCGGGCGCCCCCCTCGAGATCGTATGGGTCAGCTTAACCCAATACCCGGCACCTCCACCAATTTTGTAGGGGCCGTACCCTGAAGGACTTTCGAGCCTTGGTCAACCCCACTGCGGGTCCCATTCGGCTCGACCCGCCCACGCTCACGCTCAGGGCGCGGGTCGTTTGTCCCAGGGGCACCCCCACCTAGTGCTATGAGATGGGTGGGGATGGACCATTTGCAAGAGGGCTTTACATTGGGGGATGTAGCTCCGCTCTCGCGTCAAGATGGTAGCTCTTTGGTCACTCGTGGCGTTTTCTCGATTCAATCAAGTGTGGTCAAGCAATTGCTCTTTCCAATACGCAGGCAGTCCAGGGAATTTATTGAGATTTCGTCTTCTTTTCGTGTGTAGGCCAAGCGTCATCCATTGGGCCACACACCTTTTCACTAAGTCTAGTGGCTCAAGGCAGCCCCTACGGCATCCTTGGAGTGGGGTGGCATCGCCCGCACCCCTAGCCGCTATATTTTTTTTTGCTTGACCCACTAGCCTTGTGTCCTCCTACCCAAGACTGCCCTTAGTCCTTCCGAGCTTGCATTGCATTCAAGAGAGCCCTTGCATTCAAGAGAGTCATTGCATTCAATCCTCACACAAGCCCCATCCAGGCGTCCACCACTCATCCAAGCATCCGACCATCAAAACCCATTCTGTATTCATAGTTTATGCGAGGTCCAAGTCCTTCCCTTGCCCAGTTTCCCACCCTAGCCCTCGTCTGCGGATCCAGTCCAGATCAAGTTATCTCAAGCTACTCACCTACACAACACCACACAAAGCATGAACCAAATACAATCCCCATTGGGATCAACACATCACCCCTCCCACAAGCCTAAGTTTCCTTTGCCTTTGATGATCCTTTGGTTATCTTTCCCTTCATTCAAGCAAGCCACACCTTTACCTTAGTCATGCAGTCGGGGAGGATGGTTGAGTCAAACTGACCTTTTCACAACAACTTCACTCTCTTCCGCTTCCCCAGATGCTTACAAAAGTCCGGTACCTTCTCCTTCTTGGTGGCACAAGGGACCGGCAGCCCTCCCCTTGCCCTCGCTTTCCACCAAGTGAGGATCAAGTTCTTTGTGGTTCGTTCCCTGGCAATGTGACAGGTGAGGAAAGGTTAGTCACGTGCCATAGAGGGGAAGGGTGAGGGGAGAGTTAAGGGTCAAGGGTCTTTGAGGGAAAGGAGAACGGGGAGAGAGGGAAAGAGGGAAAGAGGGAGAGGGAGGGAGAGAGAGAGGGAGAAAGAGAAGAGAGGGAGGAAGGGAGAAGGAGAGGGAAAAGGAGAGAGTGAAAACGAGAGGTCCCACACCCTACTCGACATTGCTCCTTGACCTGCCCTAACCGGCCCTACCTAAGGTCCCGTGTGCCCCCGCGCGACCTCTACGACCTCCGAGTGGACGAGGGAGATGAAAGATGAGGAAAGTGTGGGGTGGTCGGCTATGGTGGATGGGTGTAGGTGATGGAGGAGAAAGAAGGGGCGAGGTGGTTGGCTATGGTCGACGGGTGCGGGTGATGGAGGTCGAAGAAGGTAAGTGAAGGTTGGCTATGGTGGATGGGTGCGGGTGATGGATGTGGAAGAAGGCGGGTGAAGGTCGGCTATGGTGGATGGGTGCGGGTGATGGAGGTGGAAAAAGGTAAGTGAAGGTCGGTTATGGTGGATGGGTGCGGGTGATGGAGGTGGAAGAAGGTAGGTGAAGGTTGGCTATGGTGGACGGATGCGGGTGATGGAGGTGGAAGAAGGTAAGTGAAGGTCGGCTATGGTGAATGGGTGCGGGTGATGGAGGTGGAAGAGGGTAGGTGAAGGTTGGCTATGGTAGACGGGTGCAGGTGATGGAGTTGGAAGAAGGTAGGT